CTCAATTTTCAGTTTGTCGTTCTCCTATGCAATTCAATAGCTTTCTCTGCTGTGAAGCATTTCCATGGGTACCATCATTTTATTTCCAGAATTGGTCTCTCAATGCCCCCCCCCCCCACCCCACTATTCCTTATCCCCATCTTAACACAAGCAATATTGAACAGTGGAATTTGCAGTTAGACGGTTACTCTCTCCACACCGGTCTCAGGTCTCGCGCTCGTTGTCCACTCTTGTTAAACCGTGTCGTCTCGCTCAGGCGCTAGAGTCGCTGTGTTCTGGGTTGTTGTTGCCATGGGAGCAGGTTCCCGAGCGATGCTGCCAGCTCTTTCCTGCCTCAAGCTTTGCAGTGGGTGTGTGAGAAACCGGGCATCATTGGAGCCTGGCCCAGTATCTCTCTCTCTCTCTCTCTCTCTCCATTTTCCATCTCCTTCTCTTTCAGTCTCTGATGGCATGTCTTGATATGAGTCTTTAATGCCCCAGTTCCCATACAGTATGCCACCAGTTTACTTTCCCATTTTACCATGGGAATTGTGCCCTCCCTCAGATATTCACATAAACAAACTGCACTCCATGGATCAACAGTGCTTATTATGATATGTCTGGGTTGATTAGTCAGTATAATGTTATTTTTTTTTGGTGTGTTTATGCTGAGAGTAAACCAAAAAACCTTCCTTCCAGTAAAATGCTCTTACTGGTATATACTGCAAAATCAGCATCATAAATCCTGCAATTTTTTTATAAATATGTATATGTATAACACTATACTTTGTATTATATTTTCTTTTGCATCTAATTACAAAAAAACTAGTCAATGCTGTTGTAAGGGTGTTTCTAATACAGTGGGTATTAGAGTGATGGTAAAGTTTACGTCATTCTTCTATGATCTCTCTCTCTCTATTTTTTTCCTCTTCTGAAAATTGTGGAGTTTTTCCTTTGCTATTTGAGCAAATGGGAACACAAAATATATGTTTAATGTAGTCTCTCGTTCACCGCTTTAGATTTTTAAGGGTCTGTATTCGAAAATAATTTGAAATTTGTACACATCCTCACTACAAACTAGTGTGTTGACAATGAAAACTGTTCAAAGGTTTAGGGTCGATAACGGTCTCTTAAGCTTCCCAAGGCTGCATTTATTATAATCAAAAATACAGTTATTGCAATTTAAAATAGCTGTTTTTTATTTTAATGTATTTTAAAATTTAAGTTAATCTTCTTCCAGACTTAAGTGTCCCATGATCCTTCAGAAATCATTCTGATACGCTGATTTGCAACTCGAAAAACTATTTCTTATTAGGGATTTTAAAAACTAGAGCTGCTTAATAATTTTTTTTCACAATTCTTCGAAAGGAACAGCATTTGTTTTTCAAGGTTAAATATTTATTAGTGCTTACTGTCACTTTTTATCAACTTAACGTGTCCTTCCTGAATAAATAAGTAATATCTTTAATACCCCTATCTCGCTTTACTGGTGTTTGGAATACTGGAACAAAAAACAATAACACCGAGAAAGTTTAGTGTAAAATGCTACATTGCTAGCCGTCATCTGTTAGATGCTCAGTTGTGTCCTCACAGGTCAGCAGGGTCTGTGAATGTGTGTGTGACTGATTTGTATGTGTGTATGCTCACTGTTATCACATTCTCACTCACACCCACCTGTAAAAACAGTCTCGGAACCATGCGGTAGCTTCATGAAGTCTTGCTGCATTTAAGATATCATTCGTCACTTGTGTGTGTGTGTGTGTGTGCGCAAGTTGACTGAGAGTTTCAATGCCTGGGAGCCATAAGCCCCATAGATGGAGAATCGAGGCAGAAAACATGATGGTATGTGAGGGTTTTTTTTGGCTCATGGACCTCTTCATGGTCTCTTCAGTCAGATGTACTGTTGTGAGAAAGTCAGAGGTTGCATCTTGAAGAAGGAATTGGTGTTAATCGGATCTTACATTTTCACGGACAATGCAGGTGCTGATGCTAGAGCCAATGCCCAATCCAATTCTGTGAATTTCCACTGAAGAAAATGTGTTTCTGGAAAAATGGTAGACCAGCTGATCATGACCCTGGAACTACTATTGAAAATGTAGTTTTCAAAACAGCGACTTGCGAATGCAAATGGGAAACCAAACTACATTATTATTTTATTATAACCATGTGGTACTAGAATAGCTCAATGTAATTTAAAATTAAATGAAAGCCATCTCTGAAAGATACAAAATTAAATCACTTTGTGTGTAAAAAAAACAAACATGGAAATGTGGAAACGGTATACTCTAAAAAAGGTCAGAGTTCACTCAGTAGAGGTCAAAGTCCTGTTTGGAAGAATCTCCGGAATGCCCAGAATGTGAGAGTCTGAAGCTCAAGCACCGATAGTTTCGGCTTTGGTGGTATTTGTGTGGTGCCAATTGTGTTAGTGTCAGTTGTAACATTACCTTCTGCTGTCCTGCCTGTTTTGTCCTCACACTGCTCTGTCAAAGCGTTCAGATCACAGATGGTGGTGGCTCCATTAGTGCTTCCAGAGTAAACCTAAGCTGTGTTGTGTGTTTAAGGAGCGTTTGGTGGGCAACAAATGTTTGCAGTCCAAGTCTGTGTGTGTTCTTGATCATAAAGGTCTGATTGTGGTTCGGAGGTTGTTTCCAGACAGTGTTTGAGTGCATTTTCCCTCTTTGTGTGTGTGTTTGTGTGCGTGTGTATGGGTTCTTCATTACTTCCAGCCGTAAACTTTCCCAGCCAAATCTCATAGCCCTGAAGATCTTTCCCAACATCACATCATACTCACCCGCATACAGCACAATTCATCCTCCTCCCCTCTCTGGTTTTGGATGGATTGATGCTCGGATGAGTTAACGCCAGCAAAGGATCTGCATTTTTAACTTCCGACCTTGACGTTTCTTTCATCCGTCGATCAGTTCTGTGTGGTTGTGGTTTGTGTGTTTAATGAGTGGTAACTGCAGTTTTTGAAGTTTTTGGCAGTTCTTTCGGTGGGTTTTTCACTGTGTTGGAACAGCATTGTGCGCCAGGAGCGGGCCGACTCTAGCTGCGGGACAGATTACTGAAACAGCCCTCCGCTTTCTTTTGGAAAATATTTTTAGGAACATTTGGGTTCTGGCACGTCACGCTTCCCAAGTTTTGGACAAAATTCTGAATGTTTCGGACGACTTACACCTCAAAGCTCTGATTACGGACGGCCTTTGTTGTTCACAGAGGCTTTTTTCTGGCTCGCTTGCTCCTAAATACCTCAACGCTGAGTTTATGGAAAACCCCATTTAGACTTTGTGGTGTTTATTTATAAAAGCATGAGTTTTTGTGTGTATTTTAGTCTGCATGCATGGATCAGATCATGCAGATTGACTGGAGAAAAAAAAAAAAAGTATGACTTGCCTTTTGGCCATGAACCTGTAAGTGCATGTCGGATGTGATTGAGAAGGAAAGGGAAAGAGAGAGATCAGAATTCAGAAATACAACAGACATCTGCTTCTCATTGGTGAGTCTACAAAAGGCTGGCAACATACAATCATTAAAGTACTGAATGAGAACATACATTGGGACGGCAGTGAAAGCCCACCCCTTAAATACCCACACCCAAATCCCTTTTGACAGTGAGCCTACAAAATAATCCAACCATAAGTGAAAGACATCAGAAAAAACATAAGGCATCCCATTCTGATGGGATGATGGTGGAAAACACAGATTATATTCTGAATACCATACTATTACTATACAGATAAATAACAAGTGGATGTAGTAGTACAATTATTTTTATTAATTAAATAATGTAGTGTATTAATGTGATGAATGCATGCATATAAGAATTGTTGTTTGCCATTGTGGAAATGCACTTTAAATTGTGAAGTTTAGAAAAAAAGTCATTTTTGACGAGCAAATATGGTTACTGGATGGGATTCACATGCATCACGGTGGTCACATGATTACATTGTAGCCTACATATAAAATTGTGTACCGTGTACGCATATTATTGAGATCGCTGTCACAGATTTAGGGGAACTGCGGTATGTGAGCATCTTATTAACACAATGATGATCGCTCTGAGAGAAGAGAGACAGGTGTGCAAGTCCGCTGATACGGATAAATGCTCTTTCAGTGATGCATGGCGTGAGTGAGCATGAGGGTTTAAGTGTGTTTAAGGCACTTCAGGGACTCTTCGTCTGTGACGTTAGCACTAATGAAACATGTCCGACGTTTACCCTCATCATGTTGTTCTTCTGTAATAAACCACTGTCTTTCTAGGTTAAATCAGGCCATTTTGTTCTTGCTGGAGATTACTGTAATTTTCGTAGCAGCAGCACACCAATTTTTTCTCCCAGATGGCTTGACCCCAAAAGAGTCTGGTACCAAATTGAGTCTGATCCTTTTTTTGTTGTTGTTTTTGTTTAGTATCGACGAGTTTTTGCACTTTTGACATCTCTAATTCTACCTCGTATCAGTTACTCTACACTTTATTAGGCTCTCTTTGGTGTTGCCTAGATCCAGCCTGTGTCGGAAGGCTTCTCTGTTGTTCTTTGCTGTTTACAACACCCAGTGTTAGAAAAAAAAATAGGCCATGTCCAATCAAAGTTCCTTGTGCATGTGATTCAACCCACATATACACGGATTCACACTCACAGATTTCGAAAGTAACATCGATAAGCCGTCATCATTCCTTCAGCATTGCTCACTCATTGAAAAAAAAAAACACCCAGCACTTGTCTACGTTTGGTTCATTGTCAATATTCAGCGGTTTAAAACAATAAAGCAGTCAATTGCGGTCCAAATTCTGCTTTTTTTAATTCTCTCATAGGTTTCATTGCAAATCTTTCATTTAAATAATTGAATCGGGTTGCAGAATGGGCTAAGCCGGGGCATAATTGACTTTAGCCTCGTCTGAGCGCCTGGCACAGAATTGGGAATATGCTCATTGGCGTTTTTTTTTTTTTTTGTGCACGCTTCTCCATCCATTTCATTGTAGTAATGCTCTTTGTTCATTCTTTCTTTCTCTCCCTTCCTTATAGTGTCTCTGCAGCAGCACTCAAGAGGATCAGAGGAAACAAAAGAGGAGGAGGAGGGCAGACAGAGGGGGAAAGTCAAAAAGTAAGTGGCGAATAAGTAGATAGTAGGGCTGTGTTTGGCAGTGACGAGCAGGGATGGTATAGACTATCTACATTTTGTTTCTAATTTCTGTTTTGTATGATTTCATGATAGATGTAAGAGCTGAAACGAGTTAGTTAAACAAATAAAAAGTTGGTTTGCTTACACATCCAGATGGAAATATTTGGCTGTTGCATCTCATCTTGTGCCTTTAGAATTGTGATATTGGATTGTCATGTAATATTTTGGGTATTTAATTATCTAATGATTAGCTTAACTAATCATTTTATATCTGTATCAAATCTCAAAATGAACATCACTTTTTTCATGATGCGCATTATAATGTTGCTTATGCTTACATAAGTTTGTACGTATCATTTTTATTTTAGCCAACTGTTTAAATGTTTGGGCTTTGTAAGATTAAAAAAAAGTAAAATAACACTTTATTCAGCATTAAATGCTTAAACGTGACAGTAAAGACATGTAATGTTATAATGTTACAAATAAATATTACAAATAAAGGCTTTATACCCATCAAATAATACTGACAACTATGTATAACAGTTCCAAAAAAAAAAAATTCAGCTTTAATAATAGTAATAAGTCATTGAATAGTTTGAGCACCAAATCAGCATATTAGAATGATTTCTAAAGGATCATGTGACAATGAAGGATAATGATATAATGATGAGTAATGATTGCAATATTACTGTTTTTTAATGTATTTTTAATCAAATAAATTGTTCAAAATTATCAAACAAATCGTACAAACTTTTAAACAGTAATGTAACTAGACAAATATGTGCTTTGTTTTTGAACATAATGCATACTATGCGAACATCCCAAAAAAAAAAATCGCTTCCTTAAGACTTGCTTTTAGTTTCATTGTTGCAAAAACCGAAAATATAGATTTCAAGAATTCTCTCAAGGTGTGGTGGCAAGTTTAATAGGTAATAGTTTTTCAGGTTGTTAGGGAGAGAAAGGAGAAGTAGAGAAGGTGCCTGAGATCGTAAATTACTCACGGGAACGTTCTCTGGCCACTCCCTGATCTCCTACTGTTGACTCACGTCTGCTATTGGCAGCCTCCACCTATTGTTCTTCAATAAAGGATTCGGTCCATGCTTTTTATACAAAAAAAGGTCAATGAAACATGAAACCAGATCCTCAAACCATAAGAAAAACAAAAAATGCTGGCGCTTTCAGTACTCTAAACACACTCCGTCTTTCCACCCTTACCTTATTGCATTTATATTGGAGCCTGAGGCAGTCTGCTCTTTTTCATGAGACTGCGAGGAAATTCTGATTGCGGGGCAGATTACTAGCTCTTGATTTTGCTTTGAGATCCCTACCTAGTTTTTCTTGAGCAGCAACGGTGGACACTGAGCTCCTATTACAGAAAGATAACATTATAGCTTTACATACATAAAGAGGGCATGAGAACCTGGTAAATGTTGTTCTGGTATCATAAACCATTTTTCATAAAACCTCAATGCGGATTTTGCTTCAGTCACTGACAATGATTAATAGCTCTAGTCAGTCACTTCACTATGTTAATAAGCGTTATAAGCATTTCTTTCTCTCTAGGTGATGATTATACCCTGGGCTGGAAGTGTCTGATATTGTGCCATTGGATCGTTATAGTAAAACTTGTTCACCAGCGAGACTTTTACTATTGCCGACAGACAAACTCATTGCTTCAGGCTATTTCCAGAGGCATAAAATCGTTAACGGCAGTGGTAATTGATGTGACGGGAAACGAATCAGAAGTATCTATCTAGATCAGAAGTGCACTATCATTAGAAAGGTTGAGGTTGATAAGATTTTTTTTTTATGTTTTTGAAAGAAGTTGCTTATGTGCACGAAGGCTGCAGTTATTTGACCCAAAATACAGTAAAAGCAGTACAATTGTAAAATTGTATTACAATTTAAAATAGCTATTTTCTATTTTAAATTTTTGTTTCAAATGTAACGTATTCCTGTGATCTCAAATCTGAGATTTCAGCATCATGTTGCGTTAATGTGGTGGGATTTATTGTTATTATTATTATTTTTTACCAATGGTAGACAGGAGGAGTGCTCTGGAAACCTTATTAGGATATTTATGTAAATGGAAATTATTTGTGCCCACACACACACACACTTTGTTTTAATGAGCCAGATCACATGACCCATGGAGCCCATACTGCAATACTGGAGGCTAAGGAGCTACAATCTGCCCCGCTTGATAAATGATTAACAGCAATGTTCGAATATCAATACACACACTGATATATGAGAGAGAAGTTATTTTTTTTCTAACATGTCTCAAGATTTGGGCAGGGCCTATTTGTGAAGTGCCTCTTGAGTTTCAAAGGTTTGTGTGGATTTTAGTTTGCACTCATGTTCGTGTGCGTGTGTAAGCACAGAGAAAATTTTAGTCTTCTCGTGATTGCTACTTGTCGCCCACCGGGCCTCACAACATTTTACTGAGAGGTCAAACCACTGTCACCTCTTGTCGAACATGCTTATTTGCTGTAGGTCTTGTAGTTATTAGTTTTAATGGTTTATTCAAGCGTCCTTTAGCGTCCCTTTTGGAGTTTAAATGTCAGGGAACCCTGTTTGAGCAGAATTTGGGGGCAAGTAATAACACATTTGCATGAAGTTAACTTAAGTGGCTTGGCACACTGTGATGAAACCGTGACTGATGTGTTGTGCTTGGAGCAGTGCCATACACTCCTGTGCTTTTGCTTGTGTGTGAGCAGGATTCAAATTAACACTCAAGATGCGAGTCAAGATTGCTTTCTGGGGGGTAAATACAACTTGTTGGCATGTGTTTAATTGTTTATTTATGCTTGTTTAATTACATATTTATTCACTTTGTACTTATATATATTCATTTATGTAGTAAATTATATCAATAATAATACATCTTATAATCATTTATATTAATTCATATGTAAATATTTTGGATATTTTCTCATTTTCCATTGGTAGATGTGGCAGAAGGTTCATTTTGAACCTTACAGTATGTGCAAGGGTGCATTTCTGCCAGTGCGCTCTATTTGTTAGATGCTCTGTTGCATTGTTGGAAGCCGTAGTTTAGCCAGGTGACTCTGATGTGATCTCTGCAGTCGTATACATCAAGAGCTGGGGAATTATGGCCTTTCTGTAATAATAAGCAGTGGAGTCAGATATATAGCTCCTTCCTGAAATTATCGACCCTCTGCTGTGGAAGAATTATAGGCGGTCTCACCTGTCCTCCTTCCTAGTTCATAATCTGTGAGGGAGTAAAGCCAGATCAGAGGGGGACGGAGAGAAAATGAACAGTTTTCAGGAAATAGATCCAAAGCCTGGTCATAGATCCAAAGTAAGATCGTATCAGGAAAGACTTGGGGTTGCCTCATTTAATTTGTGAAAAACCATTTTCAACTCTTGTGTATTTCTCATCACTTTTTGCTGCCTGAATGAATGCTTTAAACTCCAAGCATTATAATTGAAAATTTAATCAAACTTTTCACTTCGTTAGTTACTTTTCTCTTTTCTTGATCGACAGAAGCAGTTGCTAGGCGACATAGGCGCTTTGTATTTCTGCTTCCAATCAAATAAAAGTATGGCTTCCAATCAAAATCCACTGTTTTTTAAACAGTTTGTACCGTTTTACGGACATCAGGATTGGATGTACACAACCATGAAGAAAACACAGTAACAGTAGAAGGAAATGATTTAATTTGAAACCAGGAAATTCTACTTTAGAAGAACATTTTTCACACACAAAAAAAACAACAAAAAAAACTGGACAATTCATGTCCTGGTAAAGAATATACAAATTTTCCGGGATTGTCGAAAGAATATACATTTTCTGGCACTGTCGCTCAAAAAAGAGAACAATCCCGGGGCAACTCTAGGAAAGACGCATGTTCCTTTTTTGCGCTCTGTCACAAAACTTAGTCAGCGGAGTTATTACCTTCCAAAACAGCTTTCTAACTCAAATAGAACCTTATACGTGACTGATTAGTAACACTTGACATAGGCAGCAACATGTCTTGCTTGAGTTTGTGGTTAGCATGTCGCTAGGCTAACAACAAGAAATTTGAAACATAAAAACGCTCATTGCATACAAATATTAGGTACAATATTACACTTTTAAATTCTATTTTGACTTTAAACAGCATTTAGTGAGTCAGTGTTAATGAAGTACAAGATTATAATCAATATTTCTCTTGCCTCATCCAACATCTTGCATTAGTTTTCTCTGACATTTTCACTAAGGTGGCCTTTTCCATAACACCAAAAAGGAGGACTCTTTGTGGCATTTAGTGAGGCAAGAATAATTGCATATGACTCTGGTGCACTCGCAACTTCAATACAATTTTGTCCATCATATCTGTGGTATCATGATGCAGTGATTCTGAAATTGCTTAGGCCTACTTTATATTCATTGCCAGACAATTTGATATACTATATATCTTGACGTAGACCTATATGTGTTATAGAAAAAAGGGTTTTTTTCATTTAAAGGGTTTTGAACAAAGTAGTTCACCCTCTGCAGCCGCTCAGGCGACAACAGCACTTATATATAAATTATAAGATATAAATTTGTGCTCTTTGGTCCATTCCGGATTTACTGAGGTCTGACATACCGGCATGTTAACGTTATGATATGAAGTAGCCAGCACGTGGAGGCTTGTTTACGTTTTTAAGCAATTATATATATTAAATTTATTTGACACCACTTTCTGCCAATCATTTGTTTGACCAGAGACGCTATGCTGCTGCGTCCCAATAAAGATTCTAGAGTGTGTTTTTTTAAGGCAACTCCAAAAAGGAGGACAAATGAGGATGGGGGCAAAAATCCGGACGTTTGGCCACCCTAATTTTCATAGTGAATTTTGGCATTGCCTTTTCCGCAAAGGATGCTTACGATGTTACTTTGGAATTTGGCTTAAAGCTACACTGTGTGATTTTTACCCCATCTAGCGGGGAAAAGTTATATAAGCATCCAGTGAATTAGTTTCTGTTCCTCT